ATTCTGTCCAAAACATGAGGCAGCACTGACAGGTTTAATTTGATTATGCTTCACAAATAAAAGATGTAAAGACAGAAGGGCAAATAAGACAGCACTCAAATTTAAAAGCTGGTGACTGTACAGAAATCTGAACTTGTAACTCCAAATTAAAGACAGTGCCTCAATGCAGGGATACATGTATTTTTAGCCCACAAAAAATAAATGCCACTGAAAAGGTGACACCATTAGCCAGGTCTTTCAACTGCCAGAACCCGTAACTACATATACTAATTTTTAGTATTAAATTTACATTTAGAAGATTTATAAAAAACAACTAAAACAGCACTATTGAATAAAGACATTTATATTAACCAGGCATGGATTTTAAAAAAAATTGGGGGCCACAATGCTGTGTCTAGTATAAAAACAACCATTCAAAATAGTTTTCAACATAATTGGCTGGTTTCATTATGATGAACATAATAACTCAGGAATGTCATGGCTGGAGGACCCTTTTTGAGCCATTCAAGTCAAAATCTATTTCAATGGCCTCAGAGGATATAGAGCGAGAACATGTTGAACATTTTGGCATAGTGGCGCAGCAGATGATCAACAGTCCAAACTTAAGAACACATACAGATGATAGTGCTGGAAGATGAAAGCATACAAAGTTCAGCACGGCGCATGATAGTAATGACTTTAAGTAATGTACTATCTTAGAATATGTAGGTAAAATATAATTATATTAGCAGTTTTTTGGTAACTTACTTTTTCACTTGAAAACATCAAAGACAGCTCCTTTAATCGCAATCCATGAGTATTGGCTCTCCATCATGACGCTGCAGTGTATCAGATACACAGATGAACCAATTCATACATTGTCATTAGGGGGCAAAGGTCTCAAAGACCAGAAATTAGGGCTTTAACTTGTAAAAAAGTACCTCTCAAATAGGACAGGTTCTATAAGGAAAAGGTAAAAGTCAGGAGGTATGTGAGCCCAGCGTCACTGCAGATGGTTATAAACCATAACTGCTCTGCCACCAGTACAGACAGCTGATAAGAAAAAATACTGTCTGCCTGTGTCGCCATCTGCTCGCAAGAATGATTGGACACATCAAAAAGAGACAATCTACATTCTTTGGTCATGTGATGAGAAGAAGAAAACTGGAGTACATCGTCGAAGAAAGTTGGAAGGAAGAGAGGCATAGGAGAGAAGGAGAGAAACAGATGCTGGACAGTTTGTTTGACATCATGGCATGGAAGATCATCCTGGTGTCAGAGTTGACTGAAAGTACATGAGGACAGAAGTTGTGGACAGTTATGACTATCAACGTTACACCCCATGGACTTTAAGAAAAAGAAGAATATAATGTTGAAATAAAGTCAAGTAATCTTCCCTCAAATCGCGAGGGATATCATTACTCTAATGTTTGATATCATGGCTGAATACTCTGTTTTATTCATGTTAAGATCACAGACATCAAACATTAGAATTCTACGATCAAATCATTCATACGACATCAGTTAATTCTGTGCCATCTCCACAATGAAGGTTGGTTACACCAGCTGTGCACTCGCAGCTTTCTATGGGAATTTTACATGGTAAGGCCCCAATCTCTCCTGCCGTGTGTGATTTTCGTACAACTGTCCAAAGACCAGGAGAACAGTTTTTAATTAGAGGGCAATATTAAACTATATTCAAAATTTCAGAAACAAATAAAAAAAGTCAATAAAATAAGAATAACTTGAATATATCTGGTAAGCTTATCATGAAATGATGATATTCTAGACCGAAGTCACTAATCAAAGTAAACAGGTTTATCGATGTGGGTAATAACAGCTGTTATTTACTCTTTTTTCGTTCCAAGAACTCATAAAATATTCAATAGTAAGTTCTTATTTATCTACTGTTTCAGTTCCGTACTTCTGCCAACCCATTCTATCTCAACTGTTAATATAATTTCTTCTACCCTTAAGCTATTTTTAGGTTCCATAAGACTGGAAAACGTACTGCTCCAAAATAAAAAAACTTTAGCATAGATGATGCTGAAGCAACTACATGAGACTGAAACAGTTTACTGTTGTCCAAAGTATTTTCACAAGCAACCCAGATGTTAAAATCCAGCAGCCAAACATGAAACAAGCACAAGTACATAGCCTGTCAGAAACTCAGGTCTTATTCTTCTTAGTCCATGATCTCTGATGTTGGTCAGTATGTCTGTTCACAGATTTATGACTCCTATACTGTATTACTGTAAATCAAATCATTTCAGATACAGATGTTCTTCCATGCCAAGCTACTAAAGTGTACATTTTCCCCTCTCAGTCTCTCCATGACTATGCCTCAGTTCCTCTAACTTTCCCAAAATATGTTTTTTAATTTCCTTTTTATTTTAGAGGAAGCAGTAGTAGGACAAAGGAAGAGAGAAGAAGAAAATGTTTTCCAACAACCTGACAGCGTACAGTAGTTTCCCATATAGTCTTTAAATATGGTTGGGGTCTCAAATGCTACAGTCAGCATATAATATTTTTAATATGTTTAAACATTAATTAAAACATTTGTAGCTAGTAGTAAGTTCCACAACAAACGGTTCAACTAACCTGATACTATCCTAAAAGTTATAGTATAACTGAACTCAACAGGAATATAATATTAATGGCACTCTTCAGAATAACGGTCCATGTTTAGGCTCTCCTCCGAACTTCAACCTGATATTATGGCGGTCATAAAATAATATCCTTACGGGGCTCAGGCATATGTAAAATGCGGACTTTCTGCCAAGGAACAAATCGCCGCAAAACTAGGATTACTTGACAATTTCAAGAGACGCAACATTGCAAACGATAATAGCAGATGATAATATTGACCGTTGACAATTTCGAGTGTTTCTGCAGACGATAGTAGCAGACTATAATCCCCCGTGCAGTGTGGATGGGGTGCTAAAACTAGGTGCCTGGGACTCACTAGCAAATTAATTGGAGGGAGTTGCAGGAGATGCGGGAGTTGCAGGAGATGCGGTAGCTGCTGTTCGTGAGTCCCAGCCATCTAGTTTAGCCCCCATCCGCGACGCGCGTAGTGGCGCGGGGGATACGGTCAGCGGTGAGGCATAGTCACAGAAACAGGTCTGCAAGTAACATATCGCTGAGGACCCTGTTAGAGCATTTGTTTCGTTATACAGAGCCGGCATATTTTTAATAGAACTGAGCCCCGTAAGGATATTTTATGGCCGCCATAATATCGGGTTAAATTTCGGAGAGCCTATATTTGTAACTAATACAAGTGAATTTATAGTTCATAATCGGCTGTCATGTAAATTATCTTATTATCTAGGTTGTGTGAAAATATGTTTCATGTGTTCTTGACAGACAAAAAGATATTACGATTTATAAAGAGTACTTCTACTTTAGTATATGAACTTACACTGCCATCGTAACGCCTCAGCTCGTCAGGTGTATAGACACGGACAGTGTCACTTGAACTTACTTCTACCTCTTTCAGAACGTAGTCAGAATCTGCAGTGCTGTGTAGAAGAAACAGACTTGCAACCATAAGTACGGCCGCTCTAAGTAAGTTTCGTACAACAAACTTCATATTATCACTACTCCTATCCACTGTGTTTTTAAAACTTCCTTTCACTCTCGGAAACACACCTTATAGTATGGATGGCTCCCAAATCATATTTAGCATTTTTGGCAAGACTTCTGCCAAGACTTAGCGGCTAAAACTGGCTAGGATGTTCACCTGTTGAGCTAACTTTTGTGGCTGTTTTGGGGGTCTTGTGTGAGTGGGAGAATGTTAGTGTGTGTGCGCATGCGTGTGAAATCATATGTAATGTGAGCGAGTGTGCATGTATGTGTGTATGCGAATGTGTGACTCGCTGTGATATTTGTGTTTGTATGTGTGGATGTGTATTCTTCAGCACGAAGAATCCTTAACTCCTAGAGTATCTAGCAACTTCTTGCGTGACGTGCTTTTCTGGGCTCCGTATTTCTACTATCTAAGAGGGAATTCATTAATCTCCTGAACGACGGACATGCTGCGGGTCCAGAGGATATCACAGCAGAAGTTATTAAGGCCAGTATTAACACATCTACGAAATTGCGAGGACACCGAAAACATAACAGCGTAAGGATACGTTGTGAAACTGCCACAAGGAGTGATCAGAGGGGGGAATTTGTTGCTGTCAGTACCTGGGGGAAAAGCAAGAAATATTATTTTGGAAAGTCTAAAAAATGCTATTGATGAAAGGCTAAAAAAAATATACGAAGACAAATGGAAAGCGAAACTTCCATTGCACTGGAAAATAAGTGGAGGTCAATAGAGCTGAGTTGAGAATTAAGATTGCAAAGCATTCCCATACGCGCTCCTTTCCCATCCTCAGCAGCGAGCGCAAAGTTCAAATACTAATTGTGCCATTCGTTGTGTGGTTGTATGTGAGTTTTGTCTTTTCTCTGAGCGTAGTGTGCCGGCCGAAACCTCTGGTCACACCCTAGGTGTATCATTCTCTCCAGCCCGTAATAATCAAGTTTATTTTCTAATTTCGTTACTTGTTCCCAAAGGGCTCTGACCATATCTGCCTTGTCATGAATCAGTTCAACACCCAGTGGTACAGATCAGTTCAACACCCAGGGGTACAGATGAGTTCAACAACCAGTGGTACAGATCAGTTCAACAACCAGTGGTACAGATCAGTTCAACACCCAGTGGTGCAGATCAGTTCAACACCCAGTGGTACAGATCAGTTCAACACCCAGTGGTACAGATCAATTCAACAACCAGTAGTACAGAACAGTTCAACACCCAGTGGTACAGATCAGTTCAACACCCAGTGGTACAGATCAGTTCAACACCCAGTGGTACAGATCAGTTCAACACCCAGTGGTACAGATCAGTTCAACACCCAGTGGTACAGATCAGTTCAACACCCAGTGGTACAGATCAGTTCAACACCCAGTGGTACAGATCAGTTCAACACCCAGTGGTACAGATCAGTTCAACAACCAGTAGTACAGAACAGTTCAACACCCAGTGGTACAGATCAGTTCAACAACCAGTGGTACAGATCAGTTCAACACCCAGTGGTACAGATCAGTTCAACACCCAGTGGTACAGATCAGTTCAACACCCAGTGGTACAGATCAGTTCAACACCCAGCGGTACAGATCAGTTCAACACCCAGCGGTGCAGATCAGTTCAACACCCAGTGGTACAGATCAGTTCAACACCCAGTGGTACAGATCAGTTCAACACCCAGTGGTATAGATCAGTTTAACACCCAGTGGTACAGATCAGTTCAACACCCAGTGGTGCAGATACAGCTTGACGTCATTTTCAGCTAGCAGCAAAGAGAGAGAGAGAGAGAGAGAGAGAGAGAGAGAGAGAGAGAGAGAGCAGATGAGAAAACGAGGAATTAGGGAGAGAAGAAAGCAGAGAAATAGAAAGGCAGGAGTCAGGAGATTTAGGCGAAAAACAGAACGGGTGAGGTTGAACCATATAAGAGTGTTCTTTTAGAATTGAAGCAGTCCCAGACAGAGAGGGTCCATGCTAGAGATGTTGATATACGCTTGTGATGTCATCATGCTTCTAGAGCTGAATACAGACAAATATTATTGCCCTGGATAAGTCAGCTTTGTAAACCTGCTGGACATGGAAGACATCGGCAATATCTGCAAGTGTAGGAGGAACTGAAACATGTGGTGATTCGGTGGAATCATGATGCCGGGGAGGTGCAGAAAGTACAGACGGAGATTGGTGGCCTAAGCTTGAACATAATAAATATATATGTTGCCGTAAGTTCATCATTTACACAGCAACAGTGGGACTGACTGAAAGACCTAGAGGAGACCCTTGCTGTGATTGACACTGGTAAAGGAAAGGTTTAGTAATGGGGCTAGTGATGTTGAAACCTCGACTAACGACTGATCGTCCCTGACTCGTTTGTCTCAACGGATTTGAAACGCTTGGCATTCAGTATTTGCCCCACCCATACTTGTTCATCCACCAAGCCCTGCTAATACGACCAGTCTTTCGGCTATTTCGTTTCTGTTCACCCCGGCGACTACCGCCGTGTTCAGCCAAGATAGTTTCTTGAGGAGGGACTTCTGGATGGGATTACGGATACTGTCAATCTATTCTAATCTGAGTTTGCCAGTTTGGATCTTCTTAAGTATGCTCATTGAGTCTGTCACTTTCAGTCCGCGAGTTGCTTTCTGTTGTGCGAGTAATGCAAGTGTCCATTAACAGCTTCTATCTCCATCGTCAGACTTAAATAGCAGTTAAACTGAATGACCGACTTTCTTCCTGTCTGTTCTTCCATTCACTTGCATTATGTGTGCCCAACCAGTCCGCACCCCATGAATTACTGAGCCATATGTATGGATAATGACGTCACCTAATTGAATATTTTCTTCTAGTACCAATGGCAGTTTGGTTACATTTTCAGCAATACCTGCCTGGCGTGATTATTATCTCAACGTGCTTATTTTATTTTAATGGTGCTTCAGGGCCGATCCTGACATGCTCCAGAGGCACAAGTGATCTCCAGCAGACGATAAGTAGCCTGCCATTCTGTTTAGTTAATATTTTGGTGGGAGATTTATTTGAGAGCTACGAGTAAGATGCTAACACGACATTGTTCACAAATACTTTATCCACACGGTTACCTAAAAATTACACAAACCTGGAATGCACATGAAGCTCATCCTGTCCATGATCAATTCACTTCATCTAGTAAAGCTAAATCGTTGGCATAAATGTTAAAACCAGCGAGTAAATCTTTTAAGCTATAAATGGTTAGACAACTTTGAATTTTATGACTTAGTAGTATATGAGATCAATTTAAACCGAAAGTATTCTGTGGTAATAGATATAGCATGGCTAATCACAAACGTCACATTGGTGGAAAAAACGTCAAAGTCATCCTTGGCTGTATAGAAAAGATGACTACGTGTAGTTTATTTATTTGAAGAAAAAAACAACAACTGAAGAAATTGTTACTATTGATGTGTTTTGCATGCCACTAACAAATCTGTACTCATCCCGCTCGACACCCCGACCGCTGATGGAAAAACAAATACCTAGACCCTGACAACCAAGAAATCAATACCTAACCGTAACCCCTCCCCTTCGACCCTCCCTACTCACGATAGAAAGTAAGACAATCTGCAGACTACACGAGAAGGCGACTGCTGACAGAAGATCTAATGTTCAATGAAATAACGCATATCAGGTTGCGTGAATTTAGACTTAAGTATGGATCCGGCCAAAAAAAACGCACCATAGGAAAAGTACCAGCCAGGTCTGTACAGCCAATGTACAGTTGACAGCAATCAGAACATATACCTCGATACATTTACCGCTGGACACGGAGCAGAATACATCTCTCTCTCTCTCTCTCTCTCTCTCTCTCTCTCTCTCTCTCTCTCTCTCTCTCTCTCTCTCTCTCTCTCCAATTGTCATTTCTGTTGTTACCATAAAATCTTGTGCTGTTGGTTATTGCACATGTCTGTCTCTCTTTAGAAAACGAGATGCCAAAAAGGACTTAGTGCACTTAAGACTATGGCTGCAATTGACATAGAGCAGAGAATGCTTTTCACACTATATCAGCACCTGATCCTGTCACTGGTTGATTATGACCTGAGTCAAAGAGTCAGATGGACAAACTAGGGCGCACACAGAACGCGGCTTTGCGGGTCATTCTGGGTTGCACCAGAGACACCCCAGTGGTGTGTATGCGATACAATCTTGGTTTTCCGACGATTGCAGGTAGGCACAAGTTGCTGCAGGCGAATTTATATCTCAGGGTAGCTGCAGACACATACGACCCTTTGCATGAAGCTCTGAGTGCAGTTAAGGGTCAACGGCTGATAAGAGGGAGGTCAAGGATGGCTCAGGCTAAAAGACACAATCAGACAGGTTTGCATCCTTGAGAACATTAGGCCACCTGACCTGTCAGACTTGTGTAGAGTCATAATCACGCTGAGCCGGGAATGCAGAGACTGGCCAGCAGGTGCCACGGAGGTGAAAATTCAGCAATTAATTCAAGATAATGCTTGCTCAGAGGATTTGATCATTTACACAGACGGTTCAGTGTCAAGAGGCAAAAGAAGTGCTTGGGGCTTCTTAGCAAAAGGTAATGGTCGACGTTTAGTGCAGAAGAGCCTAGCATATTATACCACAACATCCAGCTTTAGAATGGAGGTGGAGGCGGTCACTGCAGCTTTCCGCTGGCTATAGAACACGACTCACACACACATCGTGGTTGTAACTGACTCAGAAAGCATGCTGAGGAAGATCAGAACAGGTATGCTTCATGCAGAGTGGCATGCATCGCTGCGGAAGACACGGGTTAGGAGTATTGTCTGGATTTTTTAACCGGGTACGCCGATGTGTTGGGAAATGAACAGGCGGACAGACTGGCTGGCTCTGTACAACTTGGTGGAATACTGATACATGATAAGGCAGACGTGGTCAGTGACTTGTGGGAGAGCGTGTACAGTTTGGAGGGGCAGATGGATCACCAGTCTGGTGATATTGATGGAGGGGGGAGTGACGAGAGGTTCTGGCAGATGTTCGAGGCTCAGAGGAAAGGC